GTCATGATTAAATGATTTAGGAGACAATCAGACACATTTGGAACCCTTCGCCAAATTTCCTTAACATTAGTGGTCGAAATTTGACAAGGACATCTAGGATCGCATGTCTTCTTTAATATAATATCTATGTAGAATATGGAGAGGACAATTTTGCGACCCGATTTTGCTGAATAAAGCGCAACGCGGATGAAAATTTAAAGTTTAAATAATTTGGAATTTGAAAATATTTGGATGGATTACAAATTTGTTTGCACTTTAAGATTGTTTAAAGCAATAAATTTGCAAGTTATCTTTGGGATATACGGTGTATTACCTCCGCAATGAAGAGTATTCAAATAGGCTAGGATTACTGTTAACTGCAAATGAAACTTAGTGCCGTAATTTCAAATCACAGGATTGTAAACTTTTTTTCTTTCTTTTTTTCTTCAAACATTATTTATTGATCTTTCAGATGTGTTTTAGCCAAACAAAGTGTTTAATTTCAATTACATAATTAACATATGTATTTATTGGCTAAATAATGCTAAATCTTATAGCAAAAATGGTACGTACATAAATACCTTAATTAGATTAAAAAAAATTATGACTGTAACCCGTTTTTGCAGATACATAATTATGTACCTTAAATGTATTCAATTTAAGAGTACATCTTGTTTTTGTACACACTTATATATACATTTGATTGATACAATTTCATAGATTGCAAGATTGCAACCTATTTGTGTACATACATATACCTTAAATGGATTACTTTGTTTATGTACACACCTATATACAGAAAACAGAATCTTTATAAGAGTGTTACCCGTTTTTTCAAACACCTATATACCCGAAAGAGATTCATTTTAACTGTGTAACCCCTTTTTATACATATCTATATACACTTGATAGATAAAATGTAAGGGAGCAACACATATTTGCAAGTGCATAGATATTTTCGATTTAAGAATGCAATCTGTTTTTGTACAGCCAAAAATACCTTAATTAGTTCCAATATATTAGTGTAACCCTTTTTTCACATACATACGAGTATATACCTTAAATTGATTCATTTAAAGAGTGCAACTAGATTTTGTACATACCAATATACCCGCAGTAGAATGTGTAACTTAGATACAATGTAAAAGTGTAACCCGTTTCTGCACACGCATAAATACCTTATATATGTTCTATTTAAGAATGCAACCTGTTTTGTTCATGCATGAATACCTTAACTAGATTCAATACAATAGGGGAGTAACACGTTTTTGCACATACATATATACCTTAAATGGATTCAATTTAGGGGAATAACCTGGTCTTGTACACCCCATTATCCCCAAAATAGATTCTACAAAAGAGTGTCACCCTTTTTGTACATGCCTTTATACACTTATAAGATTCAGTTTTAGAATGCAACCTGTTTTTTACACACCGATATACAGTTGATTGATTCAATATAAAAGTGCAACCCGTTTTTGCACAGACTTGTATAGCCTAAAAAAGATTCAGTTTAAGAGTTCAACCATTTTTGCACAGATTTGTTAAGCCTGAATGAAATTCAGTTTAAGAATGCAACTTGTCCTTGAACAAACTTATATTTTTGAAGTATAAAAATTTATACATGAACGTGTTCACTCTACAATTGAATCTGATCGAGGGTATAGAGGTATTGCAAAAACGGGCTTCAGTATTATATAGACTCTATTTTGGGTATTTATGTATGTTCAAAAACGGGTTACACTCTTATATTTAATCTAATTAATGTATATATGTAGGTTGCATTCTTAAGTCGATCTTTATTAGGTATTTATGCGTGTGCAAAAACGGGTTGCACTGCTAAAATGAATCTCTTAAGTGTATATAGGTGTGCAGAAACGGGTCACAATCTTATATTATATCTTATTAAGGTATCTATGTATGTACAACAATAGGTTGCATTCTTAAATGTATCTAAATCAGGTATGTATGCGTGTGCAGAAACATTTTGCACTCCAACATTGTATCCATCATGTGTATATAGATGCGTACAAAAACGGGTTGTAAAGTTAAAGTGTATCTCGTTCGGGTTTATTGGTGTGTGCAAAAACAGGTTGCACTGTTAAAGTGAGTCTATTTTGGGTTACAAAAGAGGTTGCACTCTTAAATTAAATCCATTTAAGGTATATAATTATGTATATGTATGTTTAAAAAACGGGTTATACTTTTGAAACAAAGTTATGCACATATAAATAAATTACCAAAATATCTTTGCCAAAAAGCATAAATTAGTTTTATTGATAAACAATGTTAAAACTACAACTCTCTGTATTACATCTGGGGGCATAATATATTTTAGATTTAATGAAATATTTAATAATACTTAAAAAAAATCTAGTCAGGGAGGGTGTTCGTGCATCAAATACTGGTTTCATTACTGTCAACGTTTCCCAGAAGTATTTCTCCCGGTCTATTGGTATCTGGAAAAACTTGATATTTTTGAAAAATACTTTTTTAGTTTTAATATATTTTCTAATTCGGGGAGAACTCATTTCTAGGACAATAACAAACCTCGATATGCGGGCCATTATGGCATGTGTTTGTAACAGTCTTCATTATGTGGTACACATACATAGGAACATACACATAAGAAACCGGACGTTTGGTGTGTTAAGTTTTTTTCACATTTCTGTTGAGGAATGAAAAATCAACACAAGAAATATTCATTTGTTTTTAAAAAGCTTTCACTGAATTTACTGAGAGAGAACTATTAGTATATCATTTATAAAGTATGTTCGTAAACAACACTCCATATTTTAGAGAGAAAAAAACACATTTCAATTATGAAAAGGTTAAAACAATAAAACCATTTTGCTGTGTTCTGTTTGAGAAAAGAATATAACCAAAAATATATTTAAGCAGTATAATCATTTTTTTCCACACAAAATGGTACGAAAAGCAATTCATTTTACAACCTTGATTAACAGCCGTTGAAACTGGGCCATCAGAATTTTACATGTCAAAATTTTTACATCGGAACCTTCTAATATTTTGAGTAGACTACGAGGGGTGTTCAAATATGAATGAAACTAGGCCAATATCTCGCTTTTAACCACGTTTTGCATGAACTTTGTAAATGCATCGCACAGATGGTTGTGTAATCTCTCAAATGATACAATATATGTGTAAATCAGTTCAGTCCAGCTTTGACCATAGCTCGATATACGCTATCTACTCGTGTTTACTAAAGCTAAAATGGTTGGGAAAAGGTCTCCCTTCACTGACCAAATACGGTCCTAGGTCAAGAATCGTTGAGCTTCCTCGACCTCTTAACTCGTCTGATCTTGCCCCTTGTGACTTTTTCCTGTTTCCAAGGCTCAAAAAACATTTTGCTGGAAGAAAACTCAACGCGACAAAATTTTGGCTCGGCTATTTGCCAGTGTTTGAACAGTGTTTTTAAGCACTAATGGAATTTAACCCGGTTGCATTCATATTTGAACATCCCTCCTACTTGTATAATAATGGACAGCTATAAATTTAACTGTTTATTAACGTTTAGTGTAATACCACGTAATTAACTATCTTGCATTACGTAAACGGAGTAGAACATGAGGTCTTTCTTTACTTGTTATTGTTGCATACTAACAAAACGGCAAAAGTCTCCGCAGTACAAGTTTGCGTTCTTACATTTTCATACCTTTATTGAGTAATAGAAGTTCAAATCCTAAAATAATGAAAGTACAATTATGCGTCCTAAAATGGTTTAAGTATGAATATACGTCTTGAAATAGTTGAAAAACCCGTTCATACTAACAAAAATTAAGCTACTATCAAGCGTAATATGCACTATGGTCTTTTCAATCAGACGAAAATCCTAACCGATCAGCCAAAGTCCATATAGATCTAACCGGCTTTTATAAAAAGGAAATTGTTTAGGGTGAACAATTTTTATCTTTATCGCATGTTTCTTGATTTAAATTTTCAGAATATTTTTGTTCGTTACATTGTGCAGCTTTGACAATTCGTGGTAAGATATTCTCCAAGAAATTAGCCCTCCGTGTGTTCCAGCGTTGTTTAACATTTGCTGACGTCATATCACGTGATATTTGTAAATAATGCTGGTGTTTTCTAGTGTATGGAATCCAATCTAGTCCAAGGTCTGATGGGAGATTAGGATTTCTGAAAAAAAAAATGCAACGCTTTTGCTTCTAGCCTTTGCATGGGTACTATTTAAATTCTATTTAAAAAAAATATTTCTCCGGTAAATATAGTGCAAGGCTGGATAACGTTCCTTGTAAGTTTCTACTCTCATATTCTAAAATATCGACTCGTGTTGGGATATATCGAACAAACTCTGAGCTGCTCTCGCCCTTTTCCGACAGCTTTCGTAATACCTATTTTAAGTTTATTGTTGTCACGTGAGATAAAGCTTGATTTTTAGCGTCTGCAATCCTAAACATACATGACGTATAAAAATAGGGATATTTTATGATTAAAGTGGTCAAGGATCCGAAGCAAAATATTGCTGTTATGAATTTTTTATCGAGTACACTTGCAAGCTTGGCCAAAGGTACAATACTGGCGTCACTTACTTTTTGTCTCGTTAATAAGATGTAAGTCTGAGTATTAAACCTGAAAGCTCAATACAGCTACGCCTTTAAAGTTGTCTTTGAACATTATTTGAAAATAATGATATTGTCCCTGACCACGTGCAGATGTTATAAAAAAAGGCTTAAATATCTTATTTTGTTAATAAGTCAGGCTCTAATGAGGATGTGTTCGACCTTAAGATTTCTAAAATAATGACGTCGCAGTGGAAAATACACTTTCACGTCCAAAAAAAAATAAAACATACTAAAAACAGTTATCACGAAAACAGTTGAAAGAAAGCGATTGCAGCTTCTTATTTATTGATATGACCAAAAATTAGTCGCTTTATATTAAGTTTACATGTTATCTAGGAAACATAATTTGTATTGTTATAAAAAGTTGAAGAAAATCGCTTGAAGTAAATCTTTTGAATAATACATTTATACCCATACCCAGTTTTTGCGAAGTTAGACCATATCGTCATGACGTCAGCAGATAACTGTGTTTCCCACTTCGCCGGCTTTGCATGAAATTCATCTTCTAATTGATCAGAATTTACAAAACCAAATACAAAAGGGAGATCTCCGCCGTGGACTAATTTCTTAAACCATGTCGGGGGCTGTAGAAAGCCTGAAAACTCGGGAACTATTTCAAATAAATACATATACGTGTGCTGATTGGTCGAAAGTTTTGAATGTGCATTAAGTGTAACATACAAATCCTTTGTGAATGAAACATCACCAAACATGGAAATGAATTCTTCTCTAATATTATTTTCATCACCAGGATTTTCCCAGTTTGTATACTCCGATATGACGGCGTCTACTGCAACTTTGGGCACTGTTTCTCCAAAAACCTTCCCGATTGTTACAGGAACAAGTGTTTCCTCGAAGTAAGTTTTGTTTGCCGTAAAGTTTTCAGCGTCAGGGTTTCCTGTTACAAACGGACTTATGCCACCGCTACCCTCTCCCGAGTTCACGCCAGTCATTACATCCAAGCTCGAAAAGAAATCCGCAACTTCACTTGACATATCGCTGTCTTTGTCAAACACACGTTTTGGATCGGTTTTTACAAAGTCACCGTCAAATGTTGGTAGGAACGAAGATGGAAATGTAACCAGTCCGTATGTGGAGTTACAAACGAAATCTGATAACTTTTCAACTGGTACCTGACGCAAACAATTAACCAATGACTTTGATCCGTCTGCTTCACAATTTGCAAGATTTCCCATCTTTTTTGCGTTTTCTTTATTCTTTTCATTAAGCCCCCAAAAGTTACCAACACTTCCACTCTGACCTAAAGCTCTTTGAAATAGTCCTTTATTTCCAGGATAGAGTGTTTGATAAAATACACTAGCCGACCCAGCCGACTCTCCAAAAAGTGTCACCCGATTCGGGTCCCCTCCAAAAGCAGCAATATTATCATGCACCCATTTTATCCCCAAATGCTGGTCCCATAGCCCGTAATTACCCGGCGCATGCTCATCGCCGGTAGAAAGAAAACCCCACACTGACAACCTATAATTGAGAGTAACAACTATAACTCTGCCATGTATTGCCAAGTGGTGTCCTAAATACATGTCAGAAAAACCAATCGTGAATCCACCTCCATATATCCACACCATAACTGCCAATGGCTTTTCTTCTTCATTTAATTCCGGGGCATAAACATTCAAGTACAGACAGTCCTCGTCATATTTTAATCTTTTTACTCTCCAGAAATCCTTTTAATCCAGGAAGACATGCATTGTTGTGATTAAACGCGTTTAACGGATTTTTAACGGCGTTTTTGACAAAAGGTTTTTTGAATCGCAAATTTCCAATAGGTGGTTCAGCAAAAGGTATTCCAAGAAACGTATGGATTGTTGCAGATTTATCAAGAAATGTTACATCTTCTACTTGTCCGTTAATGACTCCAATTTTTGTTGATACCGACACCGTTTTAGTTTCTGCGGTCCACAAAACTACGTACACCACTGGTAGGAGTAATATCACTTTTGCCGTCATTGTTGTATTTATTCTGTTCCTAAAATCCTTAAATAATAAGAATTTTAATCAGATTATACGAGTACAACGAGACAACTTTAAATCTTATAAGAACAAATGAAGTTTTTAAATTTTAATAAAATGGCATTGGTTGAGAGACAAATAATGAAAACTGACGTTTTCAATTGCTAAATAATATATATATAACATAGCCGAAATCCTTGCAGTACACGATGGAGTTTATAAACATAAATTATGCAAGATTTTATAGCTTTAATAAAGACTTTACATTGATTCAGATCCGTCCGCGAGTTAAACGTAATATTCATCCGCCGTTATCATAAATACCTTTTTAATTGTGACACCCGAAACATCAAATATAGGACGGTGAACTAGGTCACCCCCCTGTTCTAATGATGACCTAGATAAAAAGCAGACTTTCCACTTAACATGAAATATAATGTACATGTCTATATATAGCATCTAATGATAGTTGCTATTTGATATAACTGTTATCACATACTAGTGCAGCTTTCTGACAAAATTGCAAAGTGTGATTTTAAGACGTTAATACACATGAAGAAAAATATTAGTACATTGTTCAATTTTATTAACCTCATTGAAAAACAAAAGCTTATGATGAAATAAAAATAATAGTCATAATGCAGCGGTTTGCAAAATACAACTTTATGATTACTAGCTACCTGCATTCAATATCATCTATTTATAAATCTTTGCAATGTCATATGTAATGTACACAGATTTGACAAATGAGTATGGTCCGACATATATTACGTTAAATTTCAAATATATACATGTATATGTGTGAGTTTTCAATATGCTTTTTAAAAAGGCTTACCTTTCCTTAATGTCCCATCAGAAGAAAAACGTGAACTAAAAACTTAAACTACCAACAAAAGATAACTGAAATTTATAACGCTATTTAATCTAATGTAACCATTGCAATTTCACAACGTACTATATACTGACATGTCGTAACACTCAATAAGCAAAAAAAAACACGTTTTATTGGTATCTCAAGGCCCAACTGTGCATGTGAGAAAACAAGAATATAACAAATTATTACAAAACAAAGTAAAATGACATATATTAAAATGAAACCATGCCAATGCTATGAACATATGTATATAAGAAAAACAAATTAAATAGATAAAAATAATACATGTACAAAATGTAAAAAATTAGAATCAGAGAATGAGATCAAAAAGAAAATTTATGTCAATATGTATTATTAAGAATAAAGATAATTTTCTTATAAAATATTGCTAGATTGAGTAAAAGATTTTTGCATCAAATTTAACAATGTTGGTCTATGAAAATACGACTTGTCGTCAGGTATTGAAAAAAGGAACAATTAAATAAATAATGAAATTCGTCACCCAACAGATTATCAGAACATGAACTACACACTTTTAGACTTCTATCCAAATTAAAAAAATCTACCTGTTTCAATTGGCATTTTGTGTTTCATACATCTAAATTGCTAAATCTGATGGTAAAATGTTAAAGTATTTTTAAAAGCCATGTCGAGTTTAAAAAAAAATTATAATTCAGACATTTACTGGATTCATAAATAGAAGTTTGCCAACCATGAATAAACTGATACTTAATTCTAACAGAAATGATTTTCTTAAAATGAGGGACAAAATTGAATGTTTGAAAAATTCAATAACTTGACAAAACGAGAGAATCTAAAGAAGTATGCACACATTTCAACCAAGGAAAATCCACATCAAAATCAAAGTATAATTTCTTTGACATGAAATATAGCATAGAACAAATTTTATCTTTTTTTATCATAAATCAATTTGCCTCAATAGCTGGGCTGCGTTTCATGGAGAGTCCTCAGTTAATCCTAAATCCTAGGACTTATGACCAATTCTAGGAGAAAAAGTTTTTGCACTTAAGACCGTTTCAAGTAACTGTCCTATCTTTTGTCGTAAACTTAAGGTATTACGACCCTAATGGGCACTATAAGGAACTAAAATATTGACATCATAGGTCAGATATATACCTTAAAGTACACCTGCATGCACAATTTAAACAAAGTTTACCGTACGGAAATCAAGTTATGGCCACTTTTCTGAACTCAAGCTAGGATGTTATGAGGGCCCTTTTTTAGTAATGAGGAACCTTTAAACAATCTGCAATAACATTCTAATGAAAAATGTTTTCCCATTAACATTTAGTACCATTCAGCTAACATTCCACATAAGCAAAATTATGGTTTCTTCTTAAAATTTATGAAATCTGTATAAAAATGTTACCCTACCCCACCCATTTTTACCACATGTCTGACCATTTTCCTACTTAGGGAGCCTAATTTAAAAAATCCTTAAAATTTACCCAAATGAGGGCCTGTTTTCAAAGTTTCCCTAAATGTTTAAAGAAGTATATTGGTTGATCGTGTAAAATGTGAAATACTTTTACCGTCTAGTTTTGATTTTATTATACTTTGAAAATATCAGGTACCATATTTATTACTAGATTTAGCATAATTTAGCCAATAAGTACCTATATAAATTAAAAAATCAAAATAAAACAATATTTTCTTTCCAAATGGGACATGAGAGATACATAAATAATGTTAAAAGAAAAAAAAGAAAGAAAAAAAAAGTTGACCCTTCTGGGGATTAAACCCACGGCCCTCATTTTCAATGTAGTTAACAGTAGTTCTAGCCAATTTGAATACTCTTCAAAGTGGAGGTAATGCATTAGGATGGTAATACCTTAAGATTCATGACCGATTCGCTCTCCTGAAAAAAAGTTACAAAATACAATTTCACGCGCATAATCCCGGATTGGATTTTCTATGCAATTGATTATAGCAAGTTAGTAATGTGTTGCTCTCTTGACATAATAGATATAAAGATTTTATCATGCTGACTGAAAATATATATACCATATTTCACGAGAAACGAAAAAATAACCTTTTTATTTTATTTCATTATCAAAGACAATGGTGACGAATCTCCTTGCTTGCTACTCAACTGCAATTGTAGAATTTATTTTCTTAGTTAGACCATTTTCTATCATTCTAGACAGTTTTCAAAACGAAATTCAACAAAAAGTTTTGTTTTTCTTTTCAAACAAAATGGCGAAAGAAGTCCTTTGAAATAATTATGAGTTTTGACTCCGCCCACTTTCATATTTATATTTCATATTTATTTTTTAACAAATACGAAATATATTTGACTGATAGGCTTATATAGCACTATATTTCATGGGTAAAATTAAATAATTCTCAATATCCCCTGTCACTAATTCGGTGATTTGCATGATCAATTCCTTGGAAATGTGTACAGTATCGACTTATCAACTCCTCGTCAGTATCAACGTCCAGCGCCTGTGACTTGTCCCCCCGGCACAGGGCCCCCGTCTTTAAAATACTACCATGAACGCTGCTGTGTTTGAGTTTGAGTGGTTTTGACTTGGGAAAATCTTAAGATACCTTTAAAACACTCCTAGATTTAGGACTGTTTTTGGTAAAAAATTTAGGAGTCATAAGTTAGGACCTTTTTAAGACTTTCTTTGAAACGCAAAATTGTCTCAATTTTCATTTTAGGGCATACTTAAGACTTAGGACTCTCCATGAAACCCAGCCCAAAACTCTAGACTTAATTTGCAATGACAAACGCAATATTCCTAGCTGAACAAGATGGTGTAGATTGCTTTAGTCCGAAAACTGATTTAGTATATTTCAATTGGAAACGATCAGTTACCTCTAAATTTTCTACTCCCCAGACATCTGATTTGTATAAAATAACAGAAGCCACCGTTGCATCAAATAAACTCAATTGTAGATCGAATGATAAGGCAATTTTACCAGTCTTTGTTAAAACAGAAAACATCTTTTCGGGCTTGATCAGTCAGTTTTTTTCTTGTGCTTAAAGAGTTTCCGTTAAATTGGAAATTGAACCCCTAGATAATCAAAACAATCTACGATCTCAAGTATGTAACCCTCAAACTCTAGAGGATCAATACTATTCAACCCCCTTTTACTTTTACAGAACACATCCTTTATTGCTTTGGCAGTTTTTACTGTTAAATCCCAAGTATTACAGACATTGCATTCATAGCTTTTTGTAACTCATTAGGACTTTCAGCTAAAATAACCGTATCATCAGCAAATAATATAAGATAAACTTCAAATTCGTTTGTAATTTAAATATGACTAATACTTTCGCACACGACATTTAAATCTTCGAATCTCCTAGACAGGAACGAGTTCAAGTCATTTAAGAACAATGAAAATAAAACTTGAATACATTTTCGTCTTGTCGGACGCCAAAAGTCAGCTGCTACGAATCAGTCACCTCGTCCATTTCAAATAAATACCACACGTTTGAAGGAAAGGACGAAAAGTCATGATTAAATGATTTAGGAGACAATCAGACACATTTGGAACCCTTCGCCAAATTTCCTTAACATTAGTGGTCGAAATTTGACAAGGACATCTAGGATCGCATGTCTTCTTTAATATAATATCTATGTAGAATATGGAGAGGACAATTTTGCGACCCGATTTTGCTGAATAAAGCGCAACGCGGATGAAAATTTAAAGTTTAAATAATTTGGAATTTGAAAATATTTGGATGGATTACAAATTTGTTTGCACTTTAAGATTGTTTAAAGCCATAAAATTGCAAGTTATCTTTGGGAATAACGCCGTATTACCCTCGCAATGAAGAGTTTTCAAATAGGCTAGAACTACTGTTAACTGCAAATGAAACTAAGTGCCGTAATTTCAAATCCAAGAAGTGTCAACGTTTATTTCTTTTTTTTCTTCTTTAAACATTATTTATTGATCTTTCAGATGTGTTTTGGGCAAACAAAGTGTTTAATTTCAATTACATAATTAACTTATGTATTTATTGGCTAAATAATGCAAAATTGTATAACAAATATGGTATACAATGTACGTACATAAATACCTTAATTAGATTCAAAATATGACTGTAACCCGTTTTTGCAGATACATTTGTACCTTAAATGTATTCAATTTAAGAGTACATCTCGTTTTTGTACACACTTATATATACATTTGATAGATACAATTTCATAGATTGCAAGATTGCAACCTGTTTGTGTACATAATTATACCTTAAATGGATTCATTTGTTTATGTACACACCTATATACAGAAAACAGAATCATGATAAGAGTGTTACCCGTTTTTGCAAACACCTATATACCCGAAAGAGATTCATTTTAACTGTGTAATCCTTTTTATACACATCTATATACACTTGATAAACACAATGTTAGAGAGTAACACGTTTTTGCAAACGCATAAATATTTTCGATTTAAGAATGCAACCTGTTTTTGTACAGCTATAAATACCTTAATTAGTTCCAATATATGAATGTACCGTTTTTTACCAAATACATACGAGTATATACCTTAAATTGATTCATTTTAAGAGTGCAACTAGTTTTTGTACATACCAATATACCCACAGTAGAATGTGTAACTTAATAGATACAATGTAAACGTGTAGCCCGTTTATGTACACGCATAAATACCTAATATATGTTCTTTTTAAGAATGCAACCTGTTTTATACATGCATGAATATCTTAAATAGATTCAATATAAGAGTGTAACATGTTTTTGCACATACATATATACCTTAGATAGATTCAATTTAAGGGAGTAACCCATTCTTGTACAACCTTTATACCCAAAATAGGTTCTATATTAGATTGTCACTCGTTTTTGTACATGCCTTTATACCCTTATAAGATTCAGTTTTAGAATGCAACCCGTTTTTAACACACCGATATACAGTTGATTGATACAATATAAGAGTTCAACCGTTTTTGCACAGATTTGTTAAGCCTGAATTCAATTCAATTTAAGAATGCAACCCGTCTTTGTACAAACCTATATTTTAAAGTATAAAAAATTATACATGAACGTGTTCACTCTACAATTGAATCTGATCAAGGGTATAGAGGTATTGTAAAAACGGGCTGCAGTATTATATAGACTCTATTTTGGGTATTTATGTATGTACAAAAAACGGGTTACACTCTTATATTTAATCTAATTAATGTATTTATGTATGTACAAAAACAGGTTGCATTCTTAGTCGGGTTGCACTGTTCAAATGAATCTTTTAAGTGCATGTAGGTTTGTGCAGAAACGGGTTACAATCTTATATTATATCTTATTAAGGTATTTATGTATGTACAAAAATAGGTTGCATTCATAAATCGTATATAAATCAGGTATTTATGCGTGTGCAGGAACATTTTGCACTCTAACATTGTATCAAGTGTATATAGATGCGTACGAAAACGGGTTGTACTATTAAAGTGTATCTCGTTCGGGTATATTGTGTGTGCAAAAACAGGTTGCACTGTTAAAGTGAATCTCTTTTGGGTACAAAGGTGGGTACAAAACAGGTTGGACTCGTTAATTAAATCCATTTAAAGTAAATAATTATGTATATGTATGTTTAAAAAAAGGCTTATACTTTTGAAACAAAGTTATGCACATTTAAATAAATTACTAAAATATCTGCCAAAAAGCATAAATTAGTTTTATTGTTAAACAATGTTAAAACTACAACTCTCTGTATTACATCTGGGGGCATAATATATTTTAGATTTAATGAAATATTTAATAATACTTAAAAGAAACCTAGTTAGGGAGGGTGTACGTGCATCAATTACTGGTTACATTACTGTCAACGTTTCCCAGGTGTATTTCTCCCAGTCTCTTGGTATCTGAAAAAAAAACACCTTATATTTTTGAAAACTACTTTAAAGTTCTAATATATTTTCTAATTCGGGGAGAACTCGTTTCTAGGACACTTAAAAACCACGATATGCGGGCCATTACGGCATGCGCTTGTAATAGTCTTCATTATGTGGTACGCAGACATGGGAACATACACATGCAAAAACGGACGTTTGGTGTTAAGGTTTTTTTTTCACATTTCTGTTGAGGAATGAAAAATCAACACAAGAAATTTTTATTTGTTTTTAAAAACCTTTCACTGAATTTTCTGAAAAAGATCTATTAGTATATCATTTATAAAGTATGTTCGTAAACAAAACTCCATATTTTAGTAAAAACACATTTCAATTATGAAAAGGTTAAAACTATTTTGCTGTGTTCTTTTGAGAAAAGAATATAACCAAAAATATATTTAAGCAGTATAATCATTTTTTTCCACACAGAATGGTACGAAAAGCAATTCGTTTTACAACCTTGATTAACAGCCGTTCAAACTGGGCCATCAGAATTTTACCTGTCATACTCTTTACATCGAACCTTATAATAGTTTGAGTAGACTACGAGGGGTGTTCAAATATGAATGAAACTAGGCTAATATCTCGCTTTTAACCCCGTTTTGCACGAACTATGTACATGTATGGCATAGATGGTTGTGTACGCTCTCATACGATACAATATGTGTGTAAATCAGTTCAGTCTATCTTTGACCATAGCTCGATATACGCTATCTACTCGTGTTTACTAAAGCTAAAATGGTTGGGAAAGGTCTCCCTTCACTGTCCCAATACGGTCCTAAATCAAGAACCTTTGAGCTTCCTCAACCTCTTAACTAGTCTAATCTTGCCCCTTGTGACATTTTCCTGTTTCCAAGGCTCAAAAACATTTTGCTGGAAGAAATACTCAACGCGACAAAATTTCGGCTCGCCTATTTTCCAGTGTTTGAACAGTATACCTGGAAAGATTATGAAAACGCATTCAAAAATTGGATTAAAAGACTAAAACTTTGTATATCAAATGGTGGTGAGCATTTTTGAGGACTGAGATAATAATTTAATTTTGGCACTGTTTTTAAGCACTTCTGAAAATTTACCCGGTTGCATTCATATTTGAATATCCCTCCTACTTGTATAATAATGGACTGCTATAAATTTAACTGTTTATTAACTTTTGATGTAATACCACTGAATTAACTATCTTGCACTACGTAAACGGAGTAGAACGTGAGGCCTTTCTTTACTTGTTATTGTTGCATACCAACAAAACGGCAAAAGTCTCCGCAGTACAAGTTTGCGTTCTTACATTTAAATACCTTTATTGTGTAATGAAAGTTCAAATCCTAAAAAAATGAAAGTACAATTATGCGTCCTAAAATTGTTTATGTATGAATATGCGTCCTGAAATGATTGAAGCACCCGTTCATGCTAACAAGAATTAAGCTACTATCAAGCGTAATATGCACTATGGTCTTTTCAATCAGTCGATCAGCCAAAGTCCATATAGATCTAACCGGCTTTTATAAAAAGGAATTTGTTTAGGGCGAACAATTGTTATCTTTATCGCATGTTTCTTTATTTAAATTTTCAGAATATTTTTGTTTGTAACATTGTGCAGCTTTGACAATTCGTGGTAAGATATTCTCCAAGAAATTAGCCCTCCGTATGTTCCACCGTTGTTTAACATTTCCTGACGTCATATCACGTGATATTTGTAAATAATGCTGGTGTTTTCTAGTGTATGGAATCCAATCGAGTCCAAGGTCTGACGGGAGATTAGGATTTCTGAAAAAAAAAAATAGAACGCTTTGCATAGGTATTATTTAAATTCTATTTAAAATAAAAAGATATTTCTCCGGTTAATATAGTGCAAGGCTGCATAACGTTCTTTGTCAATTTCTACTCTCATATTCTAAAATTCTCTTTATCATTTAATGTTGCGCATTTTAATTCTTTTTTGGGATAAATTACTGTTCTTGTCAATCGGTAGATATCGACTCTCGAACAAACTCTGAGCCGCTCTCGTCCTTTTCCGACAATTTTCGTAATACCTATTTTAAGTTTATTGTTGTCACGTGAGATAAAGCTTGATTTTTAGCGTCTGCAATCCTTAACATACATGACGTATAAAAATAAGGATATTTTATGATTAAAGTGGTCAAAGATCCGAAGCAAAATATTGCTGTTATGATTTTTTATCGAGTACACTTGCAAGCTTGGCCAAAGGTACAATACTGGCGTCACGTATTTTTTGTCTCATTAATAAGATGTAAGTCTGAGTATTAAACCTGAAAGCCCAACACAGCTATGCCTTTAATATTGTCTTTGAACATTATTTGAAAATAATGATATTATCCCTGACCATGTGCAAATGTCTTAATAAAGGCTAAAATATCTTATTTTATTAATAAGTCAGGCTCTAATAAGGATGTGTTCGACCTAAAGATTTATAAAATAAAGACGTCGCAGTGGAAAAAACACTTTCATGTCAGAAATTTAAAACATACTAAAAACAGGTATCACGAAAACAGTTGAAAGAAAGCGATTGCGGCTTCTTATTAATTGATATTACCAAAAATTAGTCGCTTTATATTAAGTATAGTTGAAGAAACTCTCTTGAAGTAAATGTTTTGAAAAAGACATTTCTACCCATACCCAGTTTTTGCAAAGTTAGACCAAAGCGTCATGACGTCAGCAGATAACTGTAGTTCCCACTTTACCGGCTTTGCATGAAATTCATCTTCTAGTTGATCAGAATTTACAAAACCAAATACAAAAGGGAGATCTCCAGCGTGGACTAATTTCTTAAACCATGACGGGGGCTGTAGAAAGCCTGAAAACTCGGGAACTATTTCAAATAGATACATATACGTGTGCTTATTGGTCGAAAGTTTTGAATGTGCATTAAGTGTAACATACAAATCCTTTGTGAATGAAACATCACCAAACATGGAAATGAATTCTTCTCTAATATTATTTTCATCATCAGGATTTTCCCAGTTTGTATACTCCGATATGACGGCGTCTACTACAACTTTGGGCACGGTTTCTCCAAAAACTTTCCCGATTGTTACAGGAACAAGTGTTTCCTCGAAGTAAGTTTTGTTTGTCGTAAAGTTTTCAGCGTCAGGATTTCCTGTGACAAACGGACTAATGCCAATGCTACCCTCTCCCGAGTTCACGCCAGTCATTATATCCAAGCTCGAAAAGAAATCTGCAACTTCACTTGACATATCGATGTCTTTGTCAAACACACGTTTTGGATCGGTTTTTACAAAGTCACCGTCAAATGTTGGTAGGAACGAAGATGGAAATGTAACCAGTCCGTATGTGAAGTTACAAACGAAATCTGATAACTTTTCAACTGGTACCTGACGCAAACAATTAACCAATGACTCTGATCCGTCTGCTTCACAATTTGCAAGATTTCCAATCTGTTTTGCGTTTTCTTTATTATTTTCATTTAGCCCCCAAAAGTTACCAACACTTCCACTCTGACCTATGGCTTTTTGAAATAGTCCTTTATTTCCAGGATAGAGCGTTTGATGAAATACACTAGCCGACCCAGCCGACTCTCCAAAAATTGTAACCCGATTCGGATCCCCTCCAAAAGCAGCAATATTATCATGCACCCATTTTAACCCCATATGCTGGTCCCATAGTCCGTAATTACCCGGTGCATGCTCATCGCCGGTAGAAAGAAAACCCCACACTGATAACCTATAGTTGAGAGTAACAACTATAACTCTGCCATGTATTGCCAAGTGGTGTCCTAGATACATGTCAGAGAAACCAATCGTGAATCCACCTCCATATATCCACACCATAACTGCCAATGGCTTTTCTTCTTCATTTAATTCCGGGGCATAAACATTCAAGTACAGACAGTCCTCATCATATTTTAATCTTTTACTCTCCAGAAATCCTTTTAATCCAGGAAGACAGGCATTGTTGTGATTAAACGCGTTTAACGGATCTTTTAACGGCGTTTTTGGCAAAGGTTTTTTGAATCGCAATTTTCCAAGAGGTGGTTCAGCAAAAGGTATTCCAAGAAACGTATGGATTGTTGCAGATTTATCAAGAAATGCTACATCTTCTACTTGTCCGTTAATGACTCCAATTTTTGTAGATACCGACACCGTTTTAGTTTCTGCGGTCCACAAAACTACGTACAGCACTGGCAGGAGTAATATCACTTTTGTCGTCATTGTTGTATTTAGTCTGTTCCTAAAATCCTTCAATAATAAGAATTTTCATTGGATTATTCGAGTACAACGAGACAACTTTAAACTTTAAAAGAACAAATATAGACGTTTTAATTGTTAATAAAATGGCATTGGTTGAGAGACTAATGATGAAAACTGGCGTTTTCAATTAATAAATAAATATACATACATGTATTACCTAGTCGAAATCCTTGCAGAACACGGTGGAGTTTATATTATGCAAGATTTTAAACATTAAATTTGATTTAATTTATCCATGAGTTAAACGTAATATTCATCCGCCGTTATCATAAATACCTTTTTAATTGTGACAGCCGAAACATGAAATATAGGACGGTGAACTAAGTCAACCCCGTGGTCTCAAAGAAATTATCTAATTATGACATACATGTAGATAAAAACAGACTTTCCACTTAAAACAAAAATGTATGAAATATAATGTACATGTGTATATATAGCATGTAATGATTTGTTACTGTTTGATATAAACTGATAGTGCAGCTTTTTGACAAAATTGACAAAGTGGTGATTTTAAGACGTTATAATACGTTAATGCACATGTGGAGAAAAAATATTAGTACATTGTTCATTTTTATTAACCTCATCGAAAACAAAAGCTTATAATGAAATAAATAATAGTCATAATGCGGCGGTTTGCAATAAACAACTTTATCCAATTCGTACGACTACTTGCTACCTCGGCATTCAATATCATCTATTTATAAATCTTGCAATGTCAAATGTAATGTACACAGATTTGACAAATGAGTATGGTTCGACATATATTACGTTAAATTTCAAATAAATACATGTATATGTATGAGTTTTCAAATATGCTTTTTAAAAAAGCTTACCTTCTTTTAATGTCCCATTAGTAGAAAACTGAAATCACCGCCGATAGATAAATGAAAGATATAACCTTGTTGAATATGTGAGAGTAACTAATGCAACTATTGCGATATCACAACGTACCATATACTGACCTGTCGTAACACTCAAAAAGCAAAACAGTTTTATTGATATCTTAAGGCCCCACTGGGCAACAATATAACAAATGATTACAAAACAAAGTACATTGACATATATCAAAATGAAACCAAGCCAATGCTATGAACATATGTACATAAGAAAACAAAACAACCAAACTAAAATAATACATATATATAATGTAACAAGCTAGAATCGGAGAATGAGATCAAAAAGAAAAATTATGTCAATATGTATTATTAAGAACAAAAATATTTTTTCTTAAAGAATATTGCTAGATTGAGTAAAACATTTTTGCTTTCACTATTCATTTACTTTGAAAATTTAACAATGCTTGATCTATTTAAATACGAAATGTCTTTTGATTGTCTTAAAATGAGGGACAGAATTGAATGTTTGAAAAATTCAATTACTTGACAAACCGAGAGAATCTTAAGAAGTATGCACAAATTTCAACTAAGGAAAATCTACACCAAAATGAAAGTATAATTTCTTTGACATGAAATATAGTATAGAATAAATTTTATCTTTTTTATCAATCAATTTGCCTCAAAAGTTAAGAACCCTAGACTTAATTTGCAATTACAAACGCAATATTCCTAGCTTAAACATACATCATACAAGTTGGTGTAGATTGCTTTAGTCCGAAAACGGATTTAGTATATTTCAATTGGAAACGATCAGTTACCTCTACATTTTCTACTCCCAAGATATCAGATCCGTATAAAATAATAGGAGCCACCATTGCATCAAATAAACTCAATTGTATATCAAATGGTAAGGCAATTTTACCAGTCTTTGTTGAAACAGAAAACATAGCTTTTCGGGCTTGATCAATCAGTTTTTTCTGGTGCCTAAACAGTTTCCGTTAAATTTGAAATTGAACCCCAAGATAATCAAAACAATCTACGATTTCAAGTATATTACCCTCAAACTCTAGAGGATTATTAATATTCAACTCCCTTTTACTTTTACAGAACACATCTATTTTTGTTTTGGCAGTGTTTACTGTTAAATCACAAGTATTACAGACATTGCATTCAAAGCTTTTTGTAACTTATTAGGACTTTCAGCAAAAATCACCGTATCGTCTTCAAATAATACAAGATAAACTTCACAATCATTTGTAATTTAAATATGACTAATACTGTCGCACAGGACATTTAAACCTTCGGATCTCCTAGACAGGAACGAATTCAAGTCATTTAAGAACAATGAAAATAAAACTTGATTATAGTCTAGTCTTGTCGGACGCCTGACAAGCTTGAGCAAAAGTCAGCTGCTACGCATCAATCACCTCGTCCAATTCAAATAACTAGAAAGGACGAAAAGCCATGAGTAAATTATTTAGGAGACAATCAGACACATTTGGAATCCTTCGCCAAATTATCATTAGTGGTCGAAATTTGTCAAAGACATCTATGATTGCACGTCTTCTTAAATATAATATCTATGTAGAATATGGAGAGGACGATTTTGCGACCCGATTTAGCTTAATACAGCACAACGCGGAAGAAAATGGTGGAATAAAATTTATTTTCATAGTATATAAAAACCAAAGCAAATCATTTGTTCTGTAAGTTTAAATAACTTGGGATATAAAAATATTTGGATGGATTACAAATTTTTTTGCACTTAAAGATTGTTTAAAGCCATAACTTTGCGAACTATTTCAAACAAGTTGTCATTGGAATTTACGATGTATTACCTCTGCAATGAAAATATTCAAATAGGCTAGAATTACTGTAATTTAGTGCCGTAATTTCAAATCCCGGGAGTGTCAACTTTTTTTTCTTTTCTTTTTCTTTAAACATTATTTATTGATCTTTCAGATGTGGTTTGGCCAAAGAAAGTATTTAAATTCAATTACATAATTGATATATGTATTTATTGGCTAAATAATTCAAAAAATATATATAAATATGGTATATAATGTACGTTCATATATAAATACCTTAATTAGATTCAAAATATGACTGTAACCCGTTTTTGCAGATACATATGTACCTTAAATGTATTCAATTTAAGAGTACATCTCGTTTTTGTACAAATTTATATATACATTTGATAGATACAATTTCAAAATTTGCAAGATAGCAACCTGTTTGTGTACATACAAATACCTTAAATGGATTCATTTGTTTTTGAAAACACCTATATACCCGAAAGAAATTCATTTTAACTGTGTAATCCTTTTTATACACATCTATATACACTTGATAAACACAATGTTAGAGAGCTACACGTTTTTGCAAACGCATAAATATTTTCGATTTAAGAATGCAACCTGTTTTTGTACAGCTATAAATACCTTAATCAGTTCCAATATATGAATGTACCGTTTTTTACCACATACATACGAGTATATACCTTAAATTGATTCATTTTAAGAGTGCAACTAGTTTTTGTACCAATATACCGACAGTAGAATGTGTGTAACTTGATAGATACAACGTAAAAGTGTAACCCGTTGCTGTACACGCATAAATACCTTATATATGTTCTATTTAAGAATGCAACATGTTTTGTACATGCATGCATTCCTTAAATAGATTCAATATAAGAGTGTAACACGAACACGTTTTTGCACATTCATATATACCTTTTCAATGGATTCAATTTAAGGGAGTAACCCATTCTTGTACACTCTTTTATCCCCAAAACAGGTTCTATATACGAGTGTCACCTGTTTTTTGTACATGCCTTTATATCCTTATAAGATTCAGTTTTATTATACAACCCTTTTTTACACACCGATATACAGTTAATTGATACAATATAAGAGTGCAACCCGTTTTTTCGCACAGACTTGTATAGCCTAAAAAGATTCAGTTTAAGAGTTCAACCAGTTTTTGCACAGACTTGCTTAGCCTGAATTGAATTCAGTTTCAGAATGTACAAACTTATATTTTTTTAAGTATAAAAATTTATACATGAACGGGTTCAATCTACAATTGAATCTGATCAAGGGTATACAGGTATTGCAAAAACGGGCTGCAGTATTATATATAGTTTTATGTATGTACAAAAACGGGTTACACTCTTATATTTAATCTAATTTATGTATTTATGTATGTACAAAAAAGGTTGCATTCTTAAGTCGAATCTTTATAATCAATTATTCTTCATTAGTGTATATAGGTGTGCAGAAACGGGTCACACTTTTATATTATATCTTATTAAGGTATCTATGTATGTCATGCAAACAATAGGTTGCATTCTTAAATGTATCTAAATCAGGTATGTATGCGTGTGCAGAAACATTTTGCACTCCAACATTGTATCCATCATGTGTATATAGATGCGTACAAAAACGGGTTGTAAAGTTAAAGTGTATCTCGTTCGGGTTTATTGGTGTGTGCAAAAACAGGTTGCACTGTTAAAGTGAGTCTATTTTGGGTTACAAAAGAGGTTGCACTCTTAAATTAAATCCATTTAAGGTATATAATTATGTACATGTATGTTTAAAAACGGGTTATACTCTTTGAAACAAAGTTATGCAATATAAATGAATTACTAAAATATCATTGCCAAAAGCAGGAAGCTGCATAGATTATTCTTTTTGTTTAAATAAACAATGTTAAAACTACAACTCTCTGTATTACATCTGGGGGCATAATATATTTTAGATTTAATGAAATATTTAATGAATTTTGAGTTAATACTAAAAAGAAATCTAGTTAGGGAGGGTGTACGTGCATCAATTACTGGTTACATTACTGTCAACGTTTCCCAGGTGTATTTCTCCAAGTCTCTTGATATCTGGAAAAACTTGATATTTTTGAAAAATTACTTTTAAGTTTTAATAATTATATTTTTCTAATTCGGGGCGAACTCGTTTCTGGAGCACTTAAAAACCTCGATATGCGGGCCATTACGGCAGGTGTTTGTAACAATCTTCATTATAAGGTACGTAGACATGGGAACATACACATGCGAAAACGGGGGTTTGGTTTTAAGGTTTTTTCACATTTCTGTTGAGGAATGAAAAATCAACACAAGAAATATTAATTTGTTTGTTAAAAAGCTTTAACTGAGTTTACGAAAAGAGAACTATTAGTATATCATTTATCAAGTATGTTCATAAACAACACTCCATATTTTAGAAGAAAAAAACACATTTCACTTATGAAAAGGTTAAAACCATTTTGCTGTGTTCTGTTTGAGAAAAGAATATAACCAGAAATATATTTAAGCAGTATAATCATTTTTTTCCACACAAAATGGTACGAAAAGCAATTCATTTTACAACCTTGTTTAACAGCCTTTCACACTGGGCCTTCAGAATTTTACCTGTCAAACTCTTTACATCGGAACCTTATAATATTTTGAGAAGACTACGAGGGGTGTTCAGATATGAATGAAACTAGGCCAATATCTCGCTTTTAACCCCGTTTTGCATGAACTTTGTAAATGTATCGCATAGATGGTTGTAAGCTCTCAAATGATACAATATATGTGTAAATCAGTTCAGTCTAGCTTTGACCATGGCTCGATATACGCTATCTACTCGTGTTTACTGAAATGGTTGAAAAAAGGTCTCCCTTCACTGACCAAATACGGTCCTAAGTTAAGAACCATTGAGCTTCCTCAAACTCCTAACTCGTCTGATCTTGCCCCTTGTCACTTTTCTCAAGAACACATTTTGCTGGAAGAAATTATCAACGCGAAAAAATTTCGGCTCGCTATTTGCCAGTGTTTGAACAGTATACCTGGAAATATTATGAAAACGCATTCAACAATTGGATTAAAAGACTAAAACCTTGTATATCAAATGGTGGTAAAATTTTTGAAGGGTTGAGATAATAATTTTGGCACTGTTTGTTAAGCACTTCTGAAAATTTACCCGTTGCATTCATATTTGAATATCCCTCCTACTTGTATAATAATGGACAGCTATAAATTTAACTGTTTATTAACTTTTGGTGTAATACCACTTATTTAACTATCTTGCATTACGTACACGGAGTAGAACGTGAGGCCTTTCTTTACTTGTTATTGTTGTATACATGTACCAA